GCTCTATACAGATGGTGCTGCACCCTCTTCACAGGACTTCATCATAGGAAGTGACAGCAAATAAGGTTTTAAAATGTTATTAGAATTTATGGTGAGACTTATTCCCATCATTACATGGTTGGCTTTATTTAATCATGCTTCTAGTATTTGCTGCAGTCGCTCATTACACGCAGGGCCAGACTTTTTGTGAAACTTTAAAGCACACTTCAAGTAAATCACAGCGGTGATTATGGCTGAGCCACTCAGGCAGAAAAAAAAGAAAGAGATTAAAGATCTGGCCTGTGTGTAGCCACTTCTGAGGGCCATTGACGTCAGGTGAGTCACAGCGTGATAGCAGACACTGGTCCAACCGGAAGCTCTGTGGGAGAGCGGTTGGAGGAGCTGTTGATGATGTGCCAGCTATTATGTACATGTAATTGTATACAGTAATTCTTTTTTATTTAACACAGGGAGAAGGATCTGATGAAAACAATGATAGATGAAAGCAGAGGATTTACTAGCCAAATTCAGATACTAAAGTGAGTGTAAAAAAAAATCCTCTTTTCGTAGTCCAGCTTATCTTTTTGCCTTTGTACCCTGACCCAACCTAACCCTCCACTGATGCCTACTTACCATGTTCTAACAGCCACGGCCTACAGTGTTTGTGTACATCTGACACCAAAAGTCTCATTGTCATGGTCGCCACTGTGCATTACAGCCCCATACAGACTTCTAGAGGGCCTTCTCCCTTTATCTTTGGTCTTGGGACACAGCTACTGTGAAGGGGGAACTCTGTGGAATGGGAGAGTGGATTAGGTTGGAGGAGGGTGGGTTAGGTTGGAGGAGGGTAAGTTAGGTTGGAGGAGGGTAAGTTAGGTTGGAGGAGGGTGGGTTAGGTTGGAGGAGGGTGGGTTAGGTTGGAGGAGGGTGGGTTAGGTTGGAGGAGGGTGGATTAGGTTGGAGGAGGGTGCGATAGATCGAAGGAGAGTTGGTTAGGATGGAGGAGGGTGGGTTAGGATGGAGGAGGGGGTGGGTTAGGTCGGAGGAGGGTGGGTTAGGTCGGAGGAGGGTGGGTTAGGTCGGAGGAGGGTGGGTTAGGTCGGAGGAGGGTTGGTTAGGATGGAGGAGGGTTGGTTAGGATGGAGGAGGGTGGGTTAGGTCGGAGGAGGGTGGGTTAGGATAGAGGAGAGTTGGTTAGGATGGAGGAGGGTGGGTTAGGATAGAAGAGAGTTGGTTAGGATGGAGGAGGGTGGGTTAGGATTGAAGAGAATTTGTTAGGATGGAGGAGGGTGGGTTAGTTTGGAGGAAGGAGGTGTTAGCTGGGAGCAGCGTGGGTTTATTTAAGGGAAGGTGTGTTAGGTGGAAGGAGGGTGGGTTAAGATAGGGGGAAGGTGTGTTAGGTGGAAGGAGGGTGGGTTAATTTAAGGGAAGGTTGGTTAGGTGGGTGGAGGGTTGGTTAAGATAGGGGAGGGTGGGGTTAGGATAGAAGAGGGTGGGTTAGGATGGAAGAGGGTGGGTTAGGATGGAGGAGGGTGGGTTAGGATGGAGGAGGGTGGGTTAGGATGGAGGAGGGTGGGTTAGGATGGAGGAGGGTGGGTTAGGATGGAGGAGGGTGGGTTAAGGATGGAGGAGGGTGGGTTAAGATGGAGGAGGGTGGGTTAGGATGGAGGAGGGTGGGTTAAGATGGAGGAGGGTGGGGTTAGGTTGGAGGAAGGAGGGTGTTAGGTGGGAGGAGTGTGGGTTTATTTAAGGGAAGGTGTGTTAGGTGGAAGGAGGGTGGGTTAATTTAAGGGAAGGTGGGTTAGGTGGGAGGAGGGTTGGTTAAGATAGGGGAGGGTTGGTTAGCTTAGATCAGTGTTTCTCAATTCCAGTCCTCATGGACCCCCAACAGGTCATGTTTTCAGGATTTCCATTATTTTGCACAGGTGATTTGATCAGTTTCACTGCCTTAGTAATTACCACAGCCGTTTCATCTGAGGGAAATCCTGAAAACATGACCTGTTGGGGGTCCATGAGGACTGGAGTTGAGAAACACTGGCTTAGATGAAGGTGGGTTAAGATAAAGGAGGGTGGGTAAGTTAGGGATAGGTTTTTAGCAGGCGCACAGGAGTGCCATTAATTCTTACACAATGCATTTTCGAGTGTGGAATATCACATGGTGCTATTTTGGCTGCAATTTAAAAAATGCGCAGGGACATTTTTTTTCTCCATTTCCTAACGGTTCAGAAACTAATTTAAGTGAATAGATTGCTGTGCCCACACAAATGTAAACTGCACCAAGCGTATATGTGTGAATGGGACAAAGGACAAAAAAGAGAGCAGTGTGCACATACAGTAACCAACATTAAAAAAAAATAAAATTAATTTATGTAAACCTTTCAAGTTGAAATTTGATTGGCCGCTAGGGTGAAAACCGACATGAATAATTCTTGATCATTCTAATTCACGATTCTCAATCTGTTAAAGGAGATAAGTAATCAGATAACAAATCTGAATATTTAATCCCAGAAATTCAACAAGAATACTTTGCCTTTGTCCTTTTATGAGCACATGTCCTAACTTACTTTTTCTGGTTCCAGCGAGGCCAACAAGTCCCTGTATGACAGTAATGACTTCATGCGGTCAGCTTTATCAAACCTTGAAAATGAGCGCAGGCGGGTGAGTTCTGTTTAGACAAGTGAAATGATGTCTGTATATGTGTGCAGTGTGTATATGTGTGTGTGTGTGTATACAATATATATATTGTTTCTTTACTATAGTAAGGACCCGATCACATTTGACTGTTTTATTGCAGCAACACTCTTGCATTTGCTGCATGAAAACCCATTCTTTCCTGTGTGGTTGGTTACATCTATGTTCTGCAGTTTAGTGTGAAAGGCAAAGAAACCCTCTATTGGCCCATTCACTACTACATGTGTGTGTTACCATGCAAGCTATGTGTACACAAATGGTGTAAATCCAGCCGGAAGAACAATTGAATGAAGTTGAAATCACAAATGTGTTGGGGGTGCACAGTAAAGGAAGTGGTGTGTAGCTGTAGAAAGAAAGGGATTATGTATTTCATTGTTCTCATATCTATCTTCTCTGATTTCAGCAGTCCTCTCCAAACCAACAAAAAGAGCCACCTGTGATTACTTACAGCAGGTACGGTGTAAATGTAAACTAAGGACAAAAATGCATCAGTGCAGTTCACACGGTACAAACCTTCACAACACAATCATTAAAATGTATTCATAACTATACCAACCCCATGCATGGGTATAGAAAACAATCTCTCCTAAAATAATCACATTTTGTTGCTTTGCAGCCTGAAATGAAGACAGACAGTTTTTGTTTTATCCAGCTGTATATATTCAGTACAACTTATAACATCCAAGTGAAAGATAGAAAAAATGATGGTGCATTGATCAGCAGCACTGAGAAGCTTTGTACATTAATATTATTATTATACAGGATTTATATAGCGCCAACAGTTTGCTCAGTACTTTACAATATAACGGGAGACAATACAGCAACAATACAGTTCAATACAAGAGGGATAGGAGGGCCTGATCCTTGGAGCTTACAATCTAAGAGGGAGGGGCTAGTGGTACAAAAGGTAATAACTGTGGTGGATGGACTGGTAGGAGGAATAGAAGATTCCATTATTAGTTGAGGGCAGGATAGGCTTCCCTGAAGAGAGAGGTTTTCAGAGATTGCCTAAAAGTGAGCAGTGTAGGCGATAGTCTGATAAATTGGGTAGAGAGTTCCAGAGGATGGGGGAAGCTCTGGAGAAGTCCTGGAGACGAGCATGGGAGGAGAATTACATGAATTTGATCGCATTTTGATTGATCTGGTTGTGAGATTGCATGGTGAAAACAGACATGTGATCAATAACTTATGATCATATCTTCCAACTATCGACCAAATGGTTTATCTATATATCAATTACAGGCAGTCCCCAGGTTACAAACAAGATAGGTTCTGTAGGTTTGGTCGTAAGTTTGATTTGTATGCAAAGTTGAAGCAGGTACATTTTTAAAGTGTAACTCCAGCCAAAAAATAATTTTTAAGTTTTGGATAGCATAGGGAAAGGTTACCTGGCCATGCAGTGATGTGGGAGTGCTGAGAGATCCACCACGCAGTAGGTGGCAGCATGTGGGGGAGCAGCAAAATGTCCGCCCAGCGGTTTCTGGGACCAGTGTGACCTCGCACTGCCTCTGTTCTCAAGTATGAGTTGTATATAAGTCGGATGTTTGTAACTCAGGAACTGCCTGTATTCCTACCAGGAGAGAATGATTGGAAAAGAAATCCATCATTTACCAAAGTGTGAGGGGTAGGGGGGTTCCCCTGACTTTGGAGAGATGTTGTCTCCCCTACTGTTGAGTCTCGGAGGGATAGTGGAGGGAAAATTCTAATACATCCCAAAAAGTACTTTAGGGAAAATTGGTGATTCATTGTTGCAGAGAACTGGCTTACTCATATTTGCTGAAATCTGCAGCTAAAATCAAGATATTTTTATTGTTTAAAAAATAATAAAAGCAAAAATTTTAAAAGCAATGTTCTGTATATTTTATGGCTTATTCACATGTGCAGGCTATTGTCGATGTCCCACTGCAAAGTGATCCATGGTGGATCGTTTTTCAGAGTATGATTGTCAGACAGTAGAGAGGTGATACATTGCCTCCTCATCACCTGTTTTAACCCTAAAAATGCTGACCCAACACTCCACAACTGTGTGCAGTGGTTGCAGGGCGGTTGTGGCATGGCGTGGCTCCATTCATATGAATGGGTCACTTTAGGCGGCAGTGCCATTTAAATGCTTAAAATGCTTTTACCACCCCCTGGCGTCTTATGTATTTTTTATTTTTAAACATAAGACTGGATAAGTTGAAAGAAAGCATGCCGAGACTTTCACCTATTAGCAACTATTGTTTTGCCCAGCTTACTGCATTATAAGTTGTACAGTTTTGTAAGTTTGACCTGGGGTATATCTAATGTGCTTTTCCTGCTGTGACTTTGTCAATAGCTATGGAGGAGACGACGATCCATATCACAGATTTTCTGATGTAGCCTCATGGGCCAATAAATGTAGGGACAGTGGCGTCTCCCTGCCTCGCAGTCTTGGGTACAGCGATGTGGATAGCTACGCCAGTGAATTTGGAAGTGACCACAGTCAGAGCTCTGAGGAGCCCTGGGAAGGAAGTGTCTCCTATGTGAACTCAGAAGCAGAGGTAAGTGCCACATTTTCAGACCTTGCACATGACCACTCCATAAAGAAGATTCTGTTGCCTAAAACAGCCAGACGGGTTCCTTATGATTCTGCATTCCAAAGGAGGAAACTTGATTGGCTGGTTGATTGATCGCAGTGAAAGATCCACATTTGCTTTATTCTGCTTAAAGGATAAGTTCACCTTTCGTAAGATGCTACATATTACACCCATATTCCGGATGTAACATGTTACGAAACTACCGCCCTCCCCCCACCCACCCGGCCGTGTCACTCATTCACTGTATCCTGTGAATGAGAAAACTACAAATTCCAATGTCTTTGCAGCTGTCTGCTTGTAGTTCTGCAGAGGTCCTAGCAGTCTGCTGATCGCTGGTGCAATGCTTTCCAGGCTCCCAAAACAAAAAATTGTAAATGCATTTTTTTACCTGCAAAAAAAATGTGGATTTGTTTTTTTTTTTTAAAGGTGAACTTATCCTTTATGTGTATCTATAGCAAAACTATTTTTTTTTTATTTTGGGCAGAGTTCTTAGAACCCCTGTCCTGTCTTTATTGCTATGTCCCTCTTAGGAAGATATTCTCTCAATTTGTCCTGGTGACTAGTTGCACTGGGACTAAAAGGGAAGAAGAAATCAAAACTTGGAGCTGCCGCCAGAAGACATTTTCTGCCTTGCTATTCATGCTGAGTGGGGCGAGCTGTTAGAAGCCAAATTAAAAAAAAAAAATGCATTTTGCATACTGACATATATTCTTCTAGTTTACAATCTCTCTAATTCAGAAAAAGGTTTTTGTTTGTTATCCTATTTCTAGTGTAGTCTAATGAGCCACCCCCCCCCCCTTCCTTTATCATGGACTGCACTAATGTGTCCAGCCTCTCTCTGTGCCTACAGACAGTGTCAGGAACCATAGCAAGCAGAGACAGAAAGTGCAGTTAAAATTTCACCTTTAATGGAAAAAAGTAAAAAGAGTAAAAATATCACAGTTCAGGAACGTAGTCAAAAACAGAAGCCAGGCTTTGAATGCCAGAGCGGGTAATCAGACAAGCCAGGGACCGGCAGCATGGAGAGGCTGGAAATGAATGGATTACGTGTTCCACCCATCTGCTATGATTGATACCTTAGCATGTCAGGTGGAGAGACCAGGGGAAATTTTCAGCAGTTCATTGCACATGCAGATTGCTAATATGTGCAAGGGACGATGGGAGGAGGTAGTCCTACTGGTGGGTGAGAGCTCCTGGATCAGAAGGTGCATGGAGGACCTGGAGCTATGGCAGTAATGTTTTTCAACTGTGAGTGTTTATTGGTATTGTTGAACTTAACTAGCCAGTCCAGTGATGGTTTCATAATAAAAAAAATGGGGTTTTAATACTACATTCATATTACTGGATTGGAAGTGATTTGAAGGTGAATCCTGATTGTTTTTATAGAGTGGTGTAGTCAGCACATTACTAGTTATCTGATTGAATTATGATGCACACCCACCACCCACCATAACATTATAGCCACCCACCTAATATTTAGTTGGTCCTTTTTTTTTGCCACCAAAACAGCCCTGACCCATCGAGATATGACCTGTTCTAGACAAAGCATCACACTATCTCCACCAGCTTGTCTTCTTTACTTAGTGCATCCTGGTGCCATCTCTTTCCTAGGTAACCAAAGCACACACATCCAGCCATCCACATGATGTAAAAGAATATGTGATTCATCAGACCAGGCCACCTTCTTCCATTGCTCCATGGTCCAGTCCTGATGCTCACATGCCATTTTGGCTGTGGACACAAGTCATTATGGGCACCCTGACCGGTCTGCGGCTACACAGCCCCATACACAACAATCTACAACGCACTGTGTGTTCTGCACCTTTCTATCAGAGTTTTTTTTTTTAGCAATTTGAGCTACAGTAGTTCTTCTATTGGATAAGACTACACAAGCCAGCCTTTGCTCGTCACGTGCATCAATGAGCCTTGGTCACCCATGACCCTGTCGCCAGTTCCCTGGATATTCTTCCTTGGACCACTTTGGTAGGTCCTGACCACTGCAGACTGGTAACATCCCACAAGAGCTGCAGTTTTGTGGTTGCTTTGACCCAGTCGTCTAGCCTTCACAGTTTGGTCCTTGTCAAAGTTGCTCAAATCCTTATACTTGCACATTTTATCAACTTACTTTCAACACATCAGCTTCAGGGACAACATGATAACTTACTGCCTAAAATATCCCACCGACTTTTAGGTGTCATTGTAACAAGATAGTCAATGTTATTCACTTTACCTGTCATATGTACTAATGTTATGGCTGATTGGTGTATATTTGATAGGACCCTGAAGCTCTTCCAATATCAGTCTTACATAGTCTGCTGCATGATATAATTGTCTTTATTTTTGCCAGACAATAGAAGCCAGATCAGAAATTGATGGAAGAACTAAATGGACCCCATCTCAGCCTGTAAGCCGCAGTGGTTCTACTGCCTCTTCAAAAAGGCGACTTCCAGCATTTACACCCAAAGTAAGTACAAAACAAACGACTATCTTTTAGGGCTCATTTACATTAGCGGTGGATCATTTTTCAGAGGGCGTTTGGCTGGCAGTGAGGAGGTGTTATGTTACCTCCTCACCGCCTGCTTTATGACCTACAAACTGGCACCTCCGCCTTGAAACCATATGCATTGCATTCAGTTGCGGGGCAGCCCCATTCAGTTAAATGACTCATGTTCAGTGGGGGTGGTACTGCCTACCAAAGATCATTTTGTCTCGGAATGTGTAGACCCTCAATCTGCTGCCTTTTGCTGCTTAAGGGGGAATGGTTATGGAGTTGTAAAAACACATCAGAACAGCATGTTTTTACCCCCCCAAACGCAAGTGTAAACCTCATCTTTGTTCATGAGCTTCCTCTTATTTTTTTCACTGTTCATAAGATTGTTTTCTACAATCAAATATGATCAGCAACAGCACTACTGTATAGGTTGCATGTTTTAAAAGTAAGAAATATCCTCGGCCCTTTATAAGCCGTTTCAGATGGTCAGAGAGTATTGTAGAAATGATGTACTCATATCTTTGGGCCTATATACAGTATGTGAATTGTAAATATATAGAGTAAGCCACACCACATACCAAGAATGCATTTTACAGTAAAGTTGTAATCAGTATGTAAACACAATTACAAATGGTAAAAATATCACATCAGGAATAATACAGTAAAGGTGAATGTGCTTCACTGTAAATTCCAGTCTATAGCCCAAAAAAAAAATACATGCATAGGCAGTGCCAGGACAAGGTCATCTAGTGCTCATGTCAAATATGCCGAATAGAGCTCCCTCCCAAAATGTATGAGCTTTATCTGTCAGCAAAAATCCCTCCCTTCGCCCCCTCCCAGTACAAATCCTGCTTCCTAGCCCAAATCCTCCCCAAATCCCCCCTCCCAAACTTCCCCCTGAGCATAAATTCTCTCCTCACCTCTAAATCCCCCACTCTCTGCACAAATCCCTTCTCCTAGCACTAATCTCCTTCCCCCGAATTTCCCCTTCTAGCACAAGTTCCCTCCAATCATCCCTACTAACACAACTCCCCCCCCCCCCCCCCCAAGTCCACCTCTTCAAGCACAACCCCCCCACATTCCCACCACCCTTAGGGCAGCAACCCCTTCTGCCCACCCCTTATTCTGGCCTGGGACTTGGACTCCTTGGAGAAATGCAAGAGAAAGAGGAATATCCCAACATTTCAGGGGTGTAGGACCCCCTTTTGTAAAGATCCTCCTGCTTCAAGAACCCAGGAGGGAATACACTGTGCAGGGGTTTAAGCACCCTAACAAACTTTAGTTGTTGGTTGCAAAACAGTGCAGATAATAGTGTGGTGCAAAATGTTTTTCTAGTTACATGTGTTTTCTATATACAGTATGTGGCCTAGGTCAGTGGTTCTCAGCCCTATTGTTACCTGGGCCTGGTAAATTCTTCCAAAGCCTTCCACCATGCCCCAACAGTAAAACAAAACTTTATACTCACACAATAAAAGTATGGCAATGCAAAATATGTATTGAAAGTCTGGAAGGCTCTGCGTGGAGCTGGGTGTCGTTATGGGGAATGGGTTAGGGGGCTCTGCAACAAACTTGGTGGCCGTGGAGGGATGAGGTTTCTGGAGAGGGCTGAGAAAAGCTGTGGGGGATAGGGTTTCTGGAGGGGCCTGGGGTCTATCCAGGAGGGTGGGGACTTTGCAGGGGCACTGTGCAAAACTGGAGGGTATTGCAGGGGTTGGGGAGCAATGAGGGACACCATAGGAGATTAAGAGCTCTAAGGGGGGGGGGGGGCAGAGACTGTGCGGCACTGTGGGAGGTTTGGCACTGTTGAGGCTTAGGAGCACTGTGGTCCACCTTGGAAAATTGAGGACACTATAGGAGGTAGGAGGCACAGAGGCAGGTTAGGCGATCTTCAGCTGCCTTGATGCCTGGTAGGAGGAAGGCTATGATCTGACAGTGGGCTATGGCCTGGTGGTTGAGAACCACCTGGATGACTCTTTTATATTAGTAATAATGATATAACTGATTTGCAGATGGTCCTTGCTTGTGTTTGTGAACATATTTTGTGCCTGTGTTCTGTACAGAAAGAAGGTCTAGTTATAGAAGAAGGTTCTCAATCACCAAGTCCAATTTATCGTCTCGTTCTGGCTGGGGATGCTGGGTCAGGGAAGTCCAGTTTCCTTCTAAGACTATGTATGAATGAATTCAGAGGAGACATTCCTACCACGTTAGGTGAGTTTGTTTTATTCACTTTACAAAGCATTGCCATTTTTTTGTTTTTAAATGTTCAAATCTTTTTTTGTTAAATAAGTACTGGTCTGAATCCAGCCTGGAATAATCTTTCATTGGGATAACACCACCAAACCGCTGATAGGGTAGCCTAATGTATTGTATGTATATCCATGTAAGATATTATTATTATTATACAGGATTTATATAGCGCCAACAGTTTGCTCAGCGCTTTACAATATAACAGGAGACAATACAGCAACAATACAGTTCAATACAAGAGGGAAAGGAGGGCCTGATCCTGGGAGTTTACAATCTAGGAGGGAGGGGCTAGTGGTACAAAAGGTAGTAACTGTGGGGGATGGACTGGTAGAAAGAGTAGAAGATTCAATTATTAGCAGAGGGCAGGATAGGCTTTCCTGAAGAGATAGGTTTTCCGAGATCGCCTAAAAGTGAGCAGAGTAGGCGATAGTCTGATAAATTTGGGTAGAGAGTTCCAGAGGATAGGGGAAGCTCTGGAAAAGTCCTGGAGATGAGCATGGGAGGAGGAGATAAGGGAGCTAAAGAGCAGGAGGTCTTGCGAGGAGCGGAGAGTACGGTTTGGGTGATATTTAAAGACAAGATCGTTGATGTAATTTGGGGCAGAGTTATGAATATATAAAGATCTACTAGCAGACTTAAATTCATTAACAAATAAATATTCAGGTACAGCAACATGTTTTTGTTTTTCTTTTTTTGGGATAAAGGTATTACATGAATAAATAAAAACTGATCATTGTAAGTGCCCTTGCCAGTGTTAGATGGTTTGTCTCATTCTTGTTAAATGATGCATCTGGCACAGAACTTGTTCTTTTGAAAACCAACAGACTCACTGGCAGGATCACCAGGTGAAAATAGAAGAAAGAACCTAAAAAGAAAACTAATGCAGCCATTATATCTAAGAATTGTTACGCTGCAATATAATAAATGTTTTCTATTGGGATTAATACTGCTTTAAACTTAAAGCGTATCTATGGTAAAAATGTAAAATCCTGTAATGATTTCCACATTGTATTTCAATAATTTCTAGCCTACTCTTGTTAATCCGAATGACCTTAAGGTTTGTAAACTTACTTTGTGAAGACTCTCACAATCTAAGTACACGTTTAATTTAGAAGTTATAAAATAAATCATTGGGCAGTCTGATCTTACCCCTTTGTCTGACTGCTTATTTATTCACAGGGGTCCCTATACAGGGGTATATATACTTTATTAGAGATGTTAGAAATCAGAGGGAGGGGCCAAGTCTTGTAGTACAAGAATTTCTTGCTATGGACAAGGTTTGCCCTGGGGCTGGTAACTAGTGATGTGAGAGAAGGAGTGGTGCACTCTAGGAGCCTCATGTACTGGTATGCTGAGGGATGATGGACTGATGGAATGCACCTTAATTACACAAGGCTTGTTGGTGTGCATGTCCAGGAATGTGTGATTTATGCTCATCATAATGACCAATTATACCTGGACACATCTTCCCCAGGGGATTCAACATTGCTACCTGTAATCACACACTCACACTGTGCTACTACACGAATGTCAACTGCAGTTCCATTCAGAAAGTGTAATTTGCTGCTTAAAGCCTAAAGCTGGCCATAGATAATGATTTTATTTTTGATTGTTCAGTCAGTGGGCTGAAAGAAAAAAAAACAAGATTATTTTCTCCACATAGATGAGGTGGATGAAGGTATCCCCTGTGTCAGGACATTGTTTTCTGACAGTAGAACTGTCTACCCTGTTCATTCTGCAGAAGTCGATCTAACAATTGACTTCTGTTGAACAGGGATGGCCACACACTGGTCACATTTCATCTGGTCCCGGCTGAACTGGCTGAATTTCAACCATCTATGACTACCTTACGTTTAGTCAAAATTAAAAGTAAAGAAAACAGAGCAAGGGAGACTACTTAAATTTAAAGTGATTCTAAAGGTTACTTTTTTTTGTTAGTTTAACTTCTATATTCGGGAAGATACTGGAGAGTTTAAAGCGATTCTAAAGGTTTTTTTTTTTTTGTAAAATAACAAACATGTCTTTACTTACCTGCTGTTTGTAGTGGTTTTGCACAGAGCACCCTGGATCCTCCTCTTCCCGGGTCCCCCACAGGCTCCCCTGGCTCCTCCTGCCTGTCAGGTGCCCCCATAGCAAGCAGCTTGCTATGGGGGCACCCGCTGTTCCGTGTGTCCATTCAGACATGGAGCCACGGCTTGGCTCCGCCTCCCCCTCTCTCCTCATTGGCTGACTGGCTGTGATTGACAGCAGCAGGAGCCAATGGCTCCTGCTTGTTGTCTCAGCCAATTAGGAGGCAGAGACCCAGGAGAGCCGAGGCTGTTTTTTACAACATTGGATCGCGATGAGGCTCAAGTAAGTATTGAGGGGGCTGGGGGCACTGCTGCACGAAGAAGGTTTTTTTTATCTTCATGCATAGAATGCATGAAAGTAAACATTCTTGATTTTTTACAACCACTTACAAGTGTCCCTTGCACTGATGCCAGCCATCCTAGTTGAAATCTTCTCTACTCTGCCCCCTTACCCTTTTCACACACACATACACCAGCATAGCAGTAGTGTCAGGGCTCCCAGGTGTGACCAGAGATGTGTGACTGACGCAGGGAAACGCAGACCTCAGATATGTTATAAACAATATAATTTATTAACACTAACAATACAAACATAAACGCAGTGCAATACTAAAACATAATACAGTGCAAACAAACCAAACCAAACCACCCACAGATAACAGTACATACAAGCAAGCGTCGTCAGGCAGGCCGGGTCAATATCAATAGGGCAGGTAGGTACAGGGGGAGCAAGCGGAGATTGGTCAGGGTCACAAGCCAGGGATCAGAACAGGTAGCAAGCAGCGTGGTACAGAGGGTCAGACAGAGGGATGGTCAGGAGCGAGCCAGGATCAGAGCAGGAGAAGTCAGCAGCGGTTCAGAAACAGGATGCAGGACAGAAACAGGATACAGGGCCCAGGACAAACACACACCAAGGCAGAGTCTGTGGGTCTGGCCATCCCCTAAATACCCCAGCATAATCAGTTACAGGTGTTAGCTGGCTGCAAAGTTGAGTCTCTGATTGCTGGGAACACCCGCTGGCCAGCCCTAGTACTGCAGATCAAAAGGCAGGTGAGTCCCACCATAGCTGGCCAGTCCATTCCTGACAAGTAGTCTTCCACTGCCCGCGGTGGTAATTGAGCCACTGGACCTATCATAGGCTAAGAGTGCCGACTATGCCCGCCCTTTCTGCCAGCTCCTTCATTCAAGGAAGCTGTAGTTTCCATCAGTGAAAAGCTCTCTATGAATGGAGGAAGGGCATATGAGTGAAAAGTGACGCCTATAGTGATAGCTGCTATCTTTCAGATTCTATGCCAAGTGACTTCCCTTCTGCACACTGACCACAGAAAATTTTTCACTCAGCACTGCCTCCATTCACAGAACGCCTTGTATTTTTTTCAATGAATGCAAGGCATTCTCTGGACAAGGTGGTGATTGTGACATCAAAGCTTTTCCTCTACTCCTCCTTCAATCAGAGAATGACTTGTATTCATTAAAAAAAATTTCAGGCATTCTGTGAATAGAGGCAGTGCTGAGCGAGTGACCCTCTGTAGTTACTATGCAAACGGCACAGGACGGGAAGATTACAACTATCATAGTAGTAGTGCCAACTACTGCAGTGATTTGTAGCTTCCACAGTGACCTCTTAGGTATGAGATATGCATAGTCACATTGTGCCAAGCTGGACCAATGTATGTATGCAATACAGATCATACCTGGGATTTCAGCTTTAAGCCTCATTCACATGGGCATACCTATCCGAACACCTGTGAAAAGGGCTGCCATTACCTGCACCAGTTGTTTCATGCATCCACATGCAGGCAGTCCCATTCGTGTAACGGAACTGGACCCTCACTACACTAGGGTATTTCCGTTAGACTCCCGTTTCCCTGTCCGAACACAGATCCACGGACAACACCGCTGGCCATACCAGACTAGAAACCACCAGACTTGAAGGAAACCAGGAAATAGACTGCTTTATTTTAACACAGACACAAGATATAAACATTCAAAGGAACAACCCACCTCCCTGCATATGAACACAGGGCGTGGTAGACTAAATCTAGCAACCAGAGACACATCAGCAGACACCCCCACCAAGCCAATACACAAACGCATACATCCCATAATAGTTTGCTCCCAAGCAAGACACACAATAGAACAATGGTATGCACCACATGGCAGTAAACAATGAACAACCCCCCACCCCACTTATACATGTCTACACAATATCAGGACATTCCACCCTGTACCCCTAACAGGCACAGGGTGACTTACACATAAGAGGGATATGGGGAGCTGAGACAGGGGTCTCTCCACCCCTCCAAAGTGAGCTGTGTTCCATGGGCCCCCCACCCAAAGTCACTCCCGTCACATATCTCCCCTTTCGGCAGGAGACTAACGCAGGAGTAAACCCCAGACGGGTGGACTCCGAAGTTAGTCTGTACTTCCAGTCCCCCAATGCCAGCACCCACACAGTTCCCCAAACAAATTTTGATGCAGTGGCTGCACAGACACAGCCTGTGGTCCCAAATTGACAGTCGCACAGGTGCACGTTCCTGCACGCATGCTCTCTGCGTTCGGGGACACGCACCTATGTAGCTGTCAAATTGGGACTGGCATCTTTGTCCATGCAGCCGCTGCATCCCAACAGACATGAATGAGACTGCTTGCATATGGATGCCTGGAATACTTGTGCATCCCTTATGGGCAAAAACATACAGATAAGTACGCCCATGTGAATGAGGCCTTAAGCACAAAATGTCAAGGGTTTAGCTGAGACCGGCTTTACATCTGCC